TTGACATACGACGCTATGCGCCAATAAAATGTACAAGCTCGTTCGAGCGAAGGGGAAAGTGTACAGGGAAAATGAAAGGGGGTGGCCGTGAAGGCCCCTATGTACAACTGAAGCGCAGAAGCGCAATAATAATAAGCTTTACAAAAGCTACAAGATCATACCACTGGGATTGCAAATAAACTGTTCACAAAAGGTACAATGAGGTAATACTTGAGAAGAGTTTAGTTAAATGCTAACAATGAACTATAAAAAAGACAACTTCCATATTGCAAAGTCCGAAAGATTAAGTTGGAAGCTGAAAAATCTGTGTTGGGCTCACTCCATTCGTAACATGCAGCTGAGGACCAGGAACTTTTGAATCCCTAGACCCACAGTCACGAGTTAAACAGCGTACTTTAGGTGGTGACAAGACTGAAGGATCGGTCAGCAACATTTTATTGTCCGTCGAAGAAAGGCCGTTACCATTAGAATTACTGAAAGAAACATCAACACTATGGGACCTGGGAAACTCAGAAGGCTGAAGTGTAACACCGTATGGCCTTGCCAGCTTTCGCCACAGGCGATGAGTTGATACCAAACTATTGCTAGGCTTCGGCACCAATATGGCCTGGGAGGTTTGACACATATTTGGATTCGTGATGGGAATCTATATATGTATGAAGCAAGCCCAAAGAAATTGTTAAGGTCTTAGCCATCATTAATGTAAAGCCAATTAATAACTTAGATCATAATTTGTCACAATATCTGATAATTTAGATAGAACAAATGAATAATCGTCAAAGCAGTTACATCGTATGACTGACTAAAATTATACTGAGTAAACGCCATATGTCAATACTTCTCAAAATCAGAAAGATAAAACCTTCAAAAAGCCAAAAATGAGTACAAATAAAAAAGGCTCACCATAACCGCGGACGATACATTAACTGATTTCTTTGGCATTAGATCGTTCTGAGGGTGCAAGGGAGAATGTTTTTCCTGAATCAACAAACCGTCATTCGGAACATCATTTAACTCACGTCCCGCGTCCAGAGCAACTTCATCTATGGTCACATCATCCGGATGCTTCCTCGAAGTTGTTGGACAATCCGTCTTCGAGTAAAAAATGGGAGAGGAACGATGATCCGTGGAACCTTTAGATTCAATAAGTATAGGTTCGAAGGGTATTGGTGGGAAGATAGTTTCAGAAACAGGCCAGGAGAATGAAGGACGCCCACGATGCGAACTGAAAATAGAAGTCTTTAGTCTATTAAACAAAGCAACATCTTTTGTTTGTGACTGTCGCCAGCAAAAGTTTGAGGGTATAAGACTTGGACTAGCTGAACCACTAGATCTCAAATTCGCATCATAGGACTGGAGATAAGCAGAAAGTGGCGAGGGGGCTGCAACGCGATCACATATTATTCGACCGCCACGACCAAGGCGACGCCTTATATAGCCGGTGTAGGTAAGATGCTTTGTATGACACAGTCGTGGAATTGTTGCTAATGTATAGCAGGAATAAGGTGAGCGGGAAGGATGGAGACTGGAAAGTGTGGAACACTCTTCTAGCAATGACCTAAGGAAATAAACACGAATACATAAACCTTACGTGAATATGAGATAAATGAAGGATAGTTGAATACGCTAACTTAGCAAGCGTTAAGTTCGGACAATTACAGTTTCTCTAATAGTCGTTAAACGAGTACAGGAACACCATGTTTATGTCAAAAGAATTTAATACGAACGAAAACCCATACAAGTCCTGACTAGTAATTACGCCTATAGTGAAACGCCGTTTACGAAGTGATAACCAACGACTTCATTAAAAATTAGCTCAAATTGACCATGAATAAATGCTCAAGTCAAACCAGTTTCCACGCAATTGCTGCAGCTAACTCCGCACGACAGAATGCCTCGTTCCGTATTAACTATGTACCCTAAACTCTTGGTGGCAATCACTAGGTGATTGGTCTGCATGAGTGACAAGGTACTGGTGGGGCAAGCCTCTAGAAAGGTCACCTGCTAAATACAACAGACAATGAGCATGTCACTTAGTTTACTAAAGACCGAGCCATTATCAGGAGGTCGCGTTTTACCTGGAGAGAATCATGGCAAAATCAGGAACGTCAATACGATACCGAGTGGCCTATGTGAACCAAAGCTTAGGAGTTTAGTCGCTAGTGAGCACGAACTCCCGGTAACTTGTAATTCCGAGTTGAGTGACAACTACTCGAATGCTTTTAGCTAGTTATTCGTATTATCCCAACCTATGAAATTCCCTTGCTTGTGATACATAGTTCACCTGTTTGATTCCACAACTATCTAACAAAACCATCCGACTGAGACCATGTTCAAGCGTGTCTTGGGAGACTTTCTCTTACGTACACATAAGTCTGGTATATTGGATACAGTAGGGGTCTATACATGCTTGTTGTAGAATAGCCATGTCCAATAACTTAAGAAAATTATTCATACAACATAAGTGGTTTAGGTGATAAATCCCACTGCGAGGGACTGTGATTACTTAGAATTTTACCAGAACTACTTAAGGCAAATAAATAAGAATGGTGAATTAAAATCTTATATTAAACAATAGACCTTTCCGCATCCATCATTAGCATTAATGCAAACACTATGTACAATAATTTGAGCAACCATTAGTCCACGATTGGAAACATTAAAAGATATATTGCGCTTTTAAAGTAAAAATCAGGAAGTTTTCATCATGTATAGACGGAATCCGTGGTTAGTGGTACTATGCAATCCCAAATTATAGACGTCCTACTTAGTCTACTTATGAAAAGCTGTAGAAAAACGGACAGTGAGTATAACTCAACAAATAGACAAAAGTTTAGTATAGAAACACAGTAGGTCCGCTGGTTAACTATATACCTTGGCTTCAAATATCGGCAACCAGGAGTTCTAACAAAAGAGAATGGTCCACTTTGATCATCATCATCATCATCATTGTCAGAAGCCTCGTCGGAACTTGTGGAGTTTGGAAGATTGCTGAACCTCTTGACCAGTTTGCGCTTGCGATTAGGACGTCTTTTGTTGTCCTAAAAGAAATGAAATTCTTAAGCAGGTAACTTACTTTCAAAGACTTCATAGTTACTACACCTTCATTCTCGTGGTGGTTCCGCACTAAAGTTTCGGCTTCTACGAGACTTGAGCCTTCCCAGTCGCATAGCTTACATCTAAGCTGAAAGCATCTGTAATCACAGTTAACAATTGCTTCCTTAGTAGCTTCACGTTTGACAAGTCGACCGAGTATCTCCCTAAGAAAATGCATTAGAATAAACGTTTCCAAACCCTAGAGAATCCATTTGTTCTCTCAAGATCAACATCCTTTCGTACGACTGCTCATCACTTTTTCGGTTTTTACGGGTTTGCATCTTTTCACTCCGTCTTCGGAACGCCACATATGGATCCGTGTTACTACCACCGTCACGTCGCTCTTGTCGAACAGCGTAAAGGAGAGGTTGCCTTGACTGAACACGCTTATTAAGCCAATAATCATACACAGCGATAACTAGGGATGGGTGGTCTTGAAGAAGGTACTTAGCTTCTTCCAAATTCATTACCTATAAGCAATGAACTAGGGGAAGTATATATACCTTTTGACCACAACCACGCTCAAGCCGGTCGATCATAGACTCAAATTTCTCAGGAGTAATACCCAGATCACTTTTTTGGAACCACTCTTCATCTTCACTATCCATATCATATTCAATTGGTTCTTCTTCCGAGAACACGATTGCTTCACAGAAAATGTTACGTCAATGCACAACTTACTTCTGATATGTAAGAGCTGTTTTGGTAGACTAAAGCTGTCTGGGTAAACCCTCTTATAATCATTCTCTTTGTCAATTATCTCGGGGACAGGTATTTTAACATCTGAGTCTGTACGGAGTTGCAGGGCCTGAATAACCTCCAGAAAGTGATGTTCCTGGTGGGGAAAGTTAAAAAACGACATTAGTTCACGAACCACTTCTCCTAATAATCAAGTAAGCAATCGAAAATTAGAGACATAAGGACAATAACATACATCGTATTACTACATAAAAGCCTAAATTTTATTACATTTTCCTCCTCTTTCTCCATCCCGCTGGGAATTTGTGGAACGCCACGATTGACCAGTGCATTTTCACTGATTTCAAGAAATAATTCAGAACCATGCTTCAGAATAGGTAAGGGTTTGTTAAAATCTATTTGTCGAGCTCGAAATGAGACTTTGCTCATAGCTGAAAACAAGAACAAGAAAAGCAAGCTCATTGATAGCTAGTGAACATAGTTCCTATGTTATTGAAAGCTCAAGTAAAACTGTAAACTAAGTATGTACATTGATTTACAATTTCATATTAAGGATATCATAACTCAATAACCTTAATTATTTTAATCTTTTGGCCCCACTCCAATATGGCGCGGGGTCATTTAAGTGAAATCCAGTATGGCGGTTCAATCGTCTGCAAATGGCCGGCAACATGGAGGAAAACGTATATCATTAGCCAATTATAACAACTTCGTAACGTCAAAAAGATATTTTCGATTTTGCAAGTTGGAAATATGGGTAAAAACTTTTTCTTTCTGAATTTTTCCATACATTTTTAAAGAGTCTGCTGAAGTATTGTTTTTTACCTACGAGGTAGAACTTTATTGAGTAGTTCACAGCAATTATGGTGTTCCTAGAATTCAAAAGAAAAAGATTTTGCCTCAAAATTCGTCCGATAGCTCTGTCCTAATGTTCCTTTATTCATAGTCTAATGTAGCCTATCTCTGACATGTTACAATGCATATTGCCTTCATATTTACCACAGGTTATAGGACATTTGATCTTTGTTGTGACCATATTATTAGGCTCCACATACAGTACATAGATTCAATGGTAACTTCACAAACTTTGGCACCAGCTCGCAAAGACATAAGATATAGAACTAAGAAACGCAACCATGTAAATCACTATGATTCACGAGTGATGAGGTTCTAAATTTCATCAGGAAAAACCATCTCTAGTTATCGCTGTGTATGATTATTGGCTTAATAAGCGTGTTCAGTCAAGGCAACCTCTCCTTTACGCTGTTCGACAAGAGCGACGTGACGGTGGTAGTAACACGGATCCATATGTGGCGTTCCGAAGACGGAGTGAAAAGATGCAAACCCGTAAAAACCGAAAAAGTGATGAGCAGTCGTACGAAAGGATGTTGATCTTGAGAGAACAAATGGATTCTCTAGGGTTTGGAAACGTTTATTCTAATGCATTTTCTTAGGGAGATACTCGGTCGACTTGTCAAACGTGAAGCTACTAAGGAAGCAATTGTTAACTGTGATTACAGATGCTTTCAGCTTAGATGTAAGCTATGCGACTGGGAAGGCTCAAGTCTCGTAGAAGCCGAAACTTTAGTGCGGAACCACCACGAGAATGAAGGTGTAGTAACTATGAAGTCTTTGAAAGTAAGTTACCTGCTTAAGAATTTCATTTCTTTTAGGACAACAAAAGACGTCCTAATCGCAAGCGCAAACTGGTCAAGAGGTTCAGCAATCTTCCAAACTCCACAAGTTCCGACGAGGCTTCTGACAATGATGATGATGATGATGATCAAAGTGGACCATTCTCTTTTGTTAGAACTCCTGGTTGCCGATATTTGAAGCCAAGGTATATAGTTAACCAGCGGACCTACTGTGTTTCTATACTAAACTTTTGTCTATTTGTTGAGTTATACTCACTGTCCGTTTTTCTACAGCTTTTCATAAGTAGACTAAGTAGGACGTCTATAATTTGGGATTGCATAGTACCACTAACCACGGATTCCGTCTATACATGATGAAAACTTCCTGATTTTTACTTTAAAAGCGCAATATATCTTTTAATGTTTCCAATCGTGGACTAATGGTTGCTCAAATTATTGTACATAGTGTTTGCATTAATGCTAATGATGGATGCGGAAAGGTCTATTGTTTAATATAAGATTTTAATTCACCATTCTTATTTATTTGCCTTAAGTAGTTCTGGTAAAATTCTAAGTAATCACAGTCCCTCGCAGTGGGATTTATCACCTAAACCACTTATGTTGTATGAATAATTTTCTTAAGTTATTGGACATGGCTATTCTACAACAAGCATGTATAGACCCCTACTGTATCCAATATACCAGACTTATGTGTACGTAAGAGAAAGTCTCCCAAGACACGCTTGAACATGGTCTCAGTCGGATGGTTTTGTTAGATAGTTGTGGAATCAAACAGGTGAACTATGTATCACAAGCAAGGGAATTTCATAGGTTGGGATAATACGAATAACTAGCTAAAAGCATTCGAGTAGTTGTCACTCAACTCGGAATTACAAGTTACCGGGAGTTCGTGCTCACTAGCGACTAAACTCCTAAGCTTTGGTTCACATAGGCCACTCGGTATCGTATTGACGTTCCTGATTTTGCCATGATTCTCTCCAGGTAAAACGCGACCTCCTGATAATGGCTCGGTCTTTAGTAAACTAAGTGACATGCTCATTGTCTGTTGTATTTAGCAGGTGACCTTTCTAGAGGCTTGCCCCACCAGTACCTTGTCACTCATGCAGACCAATCACCTAGTGATTGCCACCAAGAGTTTAGGGTACATAGTTAATACGGAACGAGGCATTCTGTCGTGCGGAGTTAGCTGCAGCAATTGCGTGGAAACTGGTTTGACTTGAGCATTTATTCATGGTCAATTTGAGCTAATTTTTAATGAAGTCGTTGGTTATCACTTCGTAAACGGCGTTTCACTATAGGCGTAATTACTAGTCAGGACTTGTATGGGTTTTCGTTCGTATTAAATTCTTTTGACATAAACATGGTGTTCCTGTACTCGTTTAACGACTATTAGAGAAACTGTAATTGTCCGAACTTAACGCTTGCTAAGTTAGCGTATTCAACTATCCTTCATTTATCTCATATTCACGTAAGGTTTATGTATTCGTGTTTATTTCCTTAGGTCATTGCTAGAAGAGTGTTCCACACTTTCCAGTCTCCATCCTTCCCGCTCACCTTATTCCTGCTATACATTAGCAACAATTCCACGACTGTGTCATACAAAGCATCTTACCTACACCGGCTATATAAGGCGTCGCCTTGGTCGTGGCGGTCGAATAATATGTGATCGCGTTGCAGCCCCCTCGCCACTTTCTGCTTATCTCCAGTCCTATGATGCGAATTTGAGATCTAGTGGTTCAGCTAGTCCAAGTCTTATACCCTCAAACTTTTGCTGGCGACAGTCACAAACAAAAGATGTTGCTTTGTTTAATAGACTAAAGACTTCTATTTTCAGTTCGCATCGTGGGCGTCCTTCATTCTCCTGGCCTGTTTCTGAAACTATCTTCCCACCAATACCCTTCGAACCTATACTTATTGAATCTAAAGGTTCCACGGATCATCGTTCCTCTCCCATTTTTTACTCGAAGACGGATTGTCCAACAACTTCGAGGAAGCATCCGGATGATGTGACCATAGATGAAGTTGCTCTGGACGCGGGACGTGAGTTAAATGATGTTCCGAATGACGGTTTGTTGATTCAGGAAAAACATTCTCCCTTGCACCCTCAGAACGATCTAATGCCAAAGAAATCAGTTAATGTATCGTCCGCGGTTATGGTGAGCCTTTTTTATTTGTACTCATTTTTGGCTTTTTGAAGGTTTTATCTTTCTGATTTTGAGAAGTATTGACATATGGCGTTTACTCAGTATAATTTTAGTCAGTCATACGATGTAACTGCTTTGACGATTATTCATTTGTTCTATCTAAATTATCAGATATTGTGACAAATTATGATCTAAGTTATTAATTGGCTTTACATTAATGATGGCTAAGACCTTAACAATTTCTTTGGGCTTGCTTCATACATATATAGATTCCCATCACGAATCCAAATATGTGTCAAACCTCCCAGGCCATATTGGTGCCGAAGCCTAGCAATAGTTTGGTATCAACTCATCGCCTGTGGCGAAAGCTGGCAAGGCCATACGGTGTTACACTTCAGCCTTCTGAGTTTCCCAGGTCCCATAGTGTTGATGTTTCTTTCAGTAATTCTAATGGTAACGGCCTTTCTTCGACGGACAATAAAATGTTGCTGACCGATCCTTCAGTCTTGTCACCACCTAAAGTACGCTGTTTAACTCGTGACTGTGGGTCTAGGGATTCAAAAGTTCCTGGTCCTCAGCTGCATGTTACGAATGGAGTGAGCCCAACACAGATTTTTCAGCTTCCAACTTAATCTTTCGGACTTTGCAATATGGAAGTTGTCTTTTTTATAGTTCATTGTTAGCATTTAACTAAACTCTTCTCAAGTATTACCTCATTGTACCTTTTGTGAACAGTTTATTTGCAATCCCAGTGGTATGATCTTGTAGCTTTTGTAAAGCTTATTATTATTGCGCTTCTGCGCTTCAGTTGTACATAGGGGCCTTCACGGCCACCCCCTTTCATTTTCCCTGTACACTTTCCCCTTCGCTCGAACGAGCTTGTACATTTTATTGGCGCATAGCGTCGTATGTCAATTGAATCAATGCATAATCTGAATGAATTGTTTTCTTTTTTATGTAGTTGTGATAAATTTGTTTGTACCTTGGTACTTTGTTGTTTTGTCGAAATAAGGGTTAATGTATATTTCTAAAGATAAATACCAATTTTACTAGTTAACAAGTTAAATGTACCCCCCTGAATATGATTAACCAGCCAAAGTATAAGAGGTCGGATCCAATATAGGCTATGTAGTTTTTCACGTCTAATTGTTTGTTAGTTTGTTGAACTCGTAAGTCAAAAATGGAGAATGAATCTCTCATTAACCTGTGGGTGTTCTCGTAAATTTACTGAGTGCGAGTTGTCAGCTTTTGTACGTGTTAAGTCCTTGTTTTCTGAGGTAACGTGCTTCAAGCGACTATCATGTTTGGTCACATGAACACAAGCACCTGGAGCTTTTTCGAAGTCGTCCACACGTATTAATTATAAGCAAACTTACGATATGCCATGAGGTGGTGCTTACTAAGGATTGTGTTCTGTAGTCACCTTGTCTTTGTGGTTTTGCGTTGTGTCTGTACAGTTATTTGTCGATAAGCAAGGATATGTTTGATTTATTGGTATACTTAGTCGCCCAATTGTTCGTCATCTCGCTTCTGATGTGTGTCGTCTTAGTTACGCTACCGAAATGTCCTACTTCGGAAAATTTCCGTAAATTCAGCAGTTTTGCTACTGGAAGTAAAATGATGGTACTCCAAATTTTGGTAATTGTGTACGTTGCTGAATCAGGGTACTAACGTTCTGTAAGAAATCAATGTTTGCTTTAAAAATGTATTGCCACAATAAGAGCTTACGTCCTAAAGAGGATAGCTAAGTTTGAGATAAACATGTTGCTTCAAATTAATTTATGAAGTTTAGGATTGTTGGGGGAATAAAGTAAAGAATGTTGTTATTGGAGTCAACACTTTGTAATCTTCACATGGATCAGCTTATAAGTCAACTGGAACTATAAGATTAGTGGTTGAGGTAAATAGAAATAACAGTGTGCGATAGTAATATGCTGTAAACCTAGTAGACGCTCAATTTCCTTAAGCTAGGGATTTCAGTTAGTAGACTCTTTACAACTACAGTAGTACTTCCGTTATTTTGAAGTGCTTCCTCTGTAGGAAAATTTCATTCGAATCAAAATAATGAACTAGTTCAACTTAACTTAATGCTGAGTTTTGCTTGAATATGTCGATTCTAAAGTTGACACATCCCACATCAACACAATATAATAGGTCAATACAATGATGAATGACAATAATATCAGATCTAATGTAGAACTAAGCATAAAAGCTGATGTTGGGAAAGAAGTTAGTTCTAATAAAGGGAAGTATATAATAAGTTTATATTCAAAGCATGGCGGATGGACTGTAGTTGATTATCCCAAGCCCAAATGATTGCTGATCCTATCTTGAATCATATCAGAGCTTAATGACACGGCTGTCTGACAATCAGTGACTTATTTGGTTGGAGCTATATCTTGACCTCTCGGCGGTTAGCTTTTTTACAATCTAGGCACATAGGACATGTTTCAACCACACTACTTGAGGATGTTTGTATTCTCATCTTTGGCAAAACTCCAGGGTTGGGGTCGGTAGGCATGTCTCTGTCCTAGGAACCTGTTGGAGAGTAAATATTTCTTCGATACATCTGTGAGCAGGTCTGAAACCCGCTTGATTACCCAGTATTTGTTGTATCTAGGCTCCTACTAAATGTCGGATGGCAGTTGGAGCTAATATAATAGGCAATTAATGAGCGGTTCGTATCTAATTGTCGTAAGTGATTTTCTATACTTTTCCCGAAACTGAGACGATCTAAATTTTAAGACTAGGCTACTGTCCATAAAAGCTCATGCTGTTAATCTGTCAGAACCAGTTAATCTTTATTTCAAATTAGTCAAAGTCTTCCCAATTTTATTCGACAGACACCCTTAACATTTTACTACAGACCATGTCGGGCAACATCAGGGTGACTATCTTCATGCCCGACCGAGTGCCTGGTTAGGCTTTAAACACACTTAATGAGTGGAGTTCGAAGCAGTTTTCTTGCTATGATTTTTCCTTACTCAGTAACACTTAGGTAAACATGCTTAGAAGAGGGAGTGGTTGAAGTCCATAAAGAGAAGGGATAGTCCCTTTCAAGAGCTCGCCAACAATACGTGGCAAGTTTCGAGACAAACTGCTGAAATCTTAAATATTTATATGGGAATGTACTTATTGCGAAAGCTGGCTGTCCTAGGTTTGACAACTAGGTGAGTACTGGGTGCGAACTAAGATTACCTGACCAAAATGACAGCTGTTCAGTGATCGGTAGGTTCCAATCATTCTCCAGATATTATCCCATGATTGAAATTTTCACTTCGAATAAGTCCGCATAAATCATCAATCTTAAAATCTGTTTAGTTCCTAACTAATCTCTAAACCACTAACAACCCTTCAAGAAATACAGTTCAAAACAATACTTTGTATATCAAAATAAATCAAATTCCACCGGCACACAAACGTGCATCTATCGGCAGATAACCTCTGACTATTTTAAGTTAACTTCTTATGTGTTTGAAAATCAAGCTACGATCAATTGAAGTATAAACTACAGTACAACATCGTATGATAATAAATAATTTTGATAGCATATTGAATTTATTTGGTCGACGTAGTTCTCATTGTTTGGGTTCAATATTTGTATGAAGAACGATAATGCAATTAATAAAAGGTTTCATTGTTACTTTTTGTAACAGTTCTTTGAACTAATTGTTTGGAATACTCTTTGGGTAGTGGTTACTAGTCAAATGTAGGACAGTTGTTACGTCTTATTTAGGATTTGTCAGCAGAACGAACTTGCATTCGGAGGTTAATATTCATTATTGAATGCCATTCAAAGAAATAATCAACTATCAGACACAGGCATTGTCAGAATGTTCACCCGAAACGGCCTTTATTTCAACAAGGGTTTATCATGTCAGACCTCAACAATGAGATTGAAGTCATCACAGTTGACAATAATAATAGTAATAAAAATAAGAAACATACTGCCTGATGTCTGAATAGTGGCACAAACATTCCGTGCGTATTTGTAATTCAGTAAACTAATTCAGACAACCCCTTAATGGTAATAATTTCGGCTACGCGAATAATCAGGTTAATATAGCCCAGTCTTTGTAGCTTCCCATTTTCCATTGATCTCTGATGCATCATGTTATTTACTCAGTTTTTCTCTGGACATTATGTCTAGAGATATCGTCACCTCAGTACTATATTCGTTCCCTCAAGTGGTGATAGGTATGCACTGTTTAGATTATTACCTACACTTCTTACTCCTCGTGGGAGCATAGGCCACCGACCAGAATCCTCCAGCCAACTCTGTCCTAGGTTCTACTTTCCGGTTGTTTACAATTGCTACTCATTCTTTTGATGCCTACCCTTAATTCCTGACACAATGTGTTCACTAGTCTCCCTCTCTTCCTTTGGCCTTCACAATTCCAAGTTAGGATTCGCCTCGTAGTGCGATTTGACGATCTCCTCAATGTACGTCCTATCTACCTCCAATGTCTTTTCCTAATTTCCTCTTCAGATGAAAGTTCGTTTGTTTTCTTCCACAGTAGGTTGTTGGTGGTGGTACCTGGCGAATGGATATGGAGCATCTTGCACAGACAACTGTTTATAAATACCTGTATGTTTTTGATGATGGTTGTAGTAGTTCTCCAAGTTTCAGCTCGGTATAATAGAACTGTCTTGAAATTTGTATTGAAGAGTCAGACTTTGATGTTGGCTGACAGTTGTTTTGAGTTCCATGTGTTATTCGATTGTAGGAATTCTGGTCTTGCTTCGCCAATCTGTGCCTTTACATCTACATCAAGTCCTCCTTGCTTATCGACAATGCTGCTCAGGTATGTGAAAGTTCCCCACCTCCTACAGGGCTTCTCCATCAAGTGTGATTGGGTTGGTGTTCTCCGTGCTGTATTTCAAATTCTTGCTGTTTCCTATGTGTATGTTGAGGTATACTGCTGAAGAGGCTGCTGCTACACGGGTTTTCTTGACCTGCATTCGTTGGTGTATGGCATAGAAGGACTAGGTCATCTAAAAAGTCCAAATTGTCTAGCTGCATCCAAGCCGCAAACTGTATTCTGTGCTTTTCCTGATATTTGGAGATCTTCATGATCCAATCGACTAACAGAAGAAAAAGAAATGGCGAGAGTAAGCAATCTTGTCTGACACCGATCTTTACTTGGAATGCATCTGTCAGCTGTCTTCCATACGCCACTTTGCACTTTATTCCGTTGTATGAATTCCGTATGATGTTGACAACCTTCTCAGGTACACTATGGTGTTGCAGAAGTTTCCATAAGGTTCTCCTATCCATGCTGTAAAATGCTTTCCCATAGCGTTGTTTAGATGCCCAGAATTATTACAGAACATTTAGCTATTAGTCTCAATATTGTTTTCAGTGGCATTAAAAACTAATTTCATGTATGATAATCATTAGTTTGAAACAAATATTTATTCACAGTTTCCAATCCCGAACGCAAAAATAATAACGTTTATTTTTGTTGCAATGTTGGCTTAGTGGTCAATCGAGTGGAACTTCGAAAATTAGTCTGCGAGTTTGAACTCCATCTCCTCATATTTCTGATGCTATGTCTTAGACTGACTACCTCTGACCTTTTCTCAGAGTACACATAAGCTAGCAAGCATAACACGTTGGGAAAAATTGTAA